TATATATCGTATATATATATATATATATATATATATATATATATATATATATATATATATATATATATATATATATATATATATATATATATATATTGTTTATATAATAAACAGAAAAATACATGGGTGCTTGGAAATACCAGATTTATTTCTCGTGTTGAACACGATATCTCACACGAAATAAATCTGGTATTTCCGCGCACCCATGTATTATTCTCTATTTATTCCACAACATTCTCCAAGGTGATTTCTGAAATGCAAATTCTAACACATGCACTCACGTTTAACATCGACCAAGATATATGTTCGTCGATACTCCAAATACTCGCTTGCAAATTGTTCAGTTGGCCTTTCATTCATGTTTTTCACAACCCCACTTTCTTCCGCTAAATCTATCGTGTCTGTTGCATATCAAGAAACAAAATTGGTCATTATAGTTCGAGAGACGTGCATCTCTATTGATTGTAGTGCTTGATGTGATTATTCTTTTCAGTATTTTCTGCTTATTTCAATTGTTACCTTTATTGTTCATGTTTTAGTCTACTGGTACAAATACCATAATTTTATCTGTTATAAATTTATTATAGAGTCATATAGTGGGCCATATAATATGTACACCCCCTAATATGTACATTGTACACCCCCTTATTGAAGGGTCTGGATATCCAATGGGGGGGTCTTCATCTTAAATTTTCCTAGAGGGTAGCTTGAGATATTTTTAAAAAATGGAATAAATTAGGTGTTTTAGTGATATCCAAGAAGGAAAAAGGGATATCCTAAAGGGGTTAGTAAGATATCCTCGGGGGTAACTTCCACAAACTGCATGCAAGGGGGGTTCCAAATTTTTTTATATCCTATTAAGGGGTTACTGCCTATATTAAATGGAATGGTACAGAAGGGTTCGTACAAAACTTGAATTTCCTTGAATTTGAAAACAAAAATTTAAGGTCTTGAATATCCTTGAATTTGCAAAGAAAACTATTTGACATTCAAAACGGACATTTTGTTGAATTGAGTTGACATGTTCATATCTGACGAAGATGTATTAAAGTTTGAAATGCATTAAAGAATAAAGTTGCGCCTTTTTGAACAATTCAACGCCAATTCTAACGCCTTCTCTTCAGTATTTAGTCCTTGAATTTGCTGATACTTGGCCTTGAATATCCTTAAAAAGTCCTTGAATTTGACTCTTCCTTACATGTACCAACCTGAGTATAACTATATATAACCTGAGTATAGATATGGTAATATTAACGGAGTAAAAACAAGTTTTCTTTAATTATTAAAAACTGCAAGATCTTCTAGTTATAGTATTATTTTGAATATAATTTATATTGTGTGGTAAAAAGTCTTTCTGTTAATTTACCTTTATCTTTGCAGTTGCATCGCTTTTTTATGTTTTCTATTAGCATAACATTTTTACAATTTGGGTTGAAGAGTTCTTGTTGAGAATCTTAAAAAGTGACAGAAGTCACATAAAAAGACAAAAATCATAACTCATGTCCGCACAAAAAAAATGCAAAACTCAACTAAATTTCGCAGACATTTCAGAATTTAATAGTACACCTACCTCCAAAAAGAACAACTATAAACATTTGTTGAAGTAAATTGTAAACTGTTAAAAATGTAAGTCACTGACAAAAAGGGTTTTTAAAACAAATGAAAAATGTTCGTTGGAAGTTGAAACTTGAAAAATAAATTATTCACATGAAAAAGTGTTTTACCCAGTATCCTTTGCGACAATTATGCAAGGTCAGCATCTCAGTGGTCAGCAGTGAACTGGTGGTCAGTGACTCGCGTACATTTGAGCATAGACAATCCAGAAGACATCTATTGTCTTCTGGATTGTCTATGATTTGAGTCATGATGAGTATATTTATTTTATACAGTTTACTGGATATTAATTACCGCGCTCGTAGCAAAAACTCTCATCAAATTTCGAGGCCGCTCAAACGAGTTGTTGGGAGTTATGAGAGTCGATGAGAGCTGGTGATCAAACGCGAGCGAGAGTTGCAACTCATCAACTCTCGTCATGCACGTTCGACCAGGGCCACACTGCAGGCCCAAATGAAACTGCTTCAGCTCCAAATTAATTGATGTTGAAATGTTGTTCTCATACATCATTAGATATTCATAGCATTTCGGCCAATGACATGGTTTAATTTACATCACATGTATCAATCTGGATCAAGTACCCCGTCTAGACCAGGACTTTAATTACTTCAAGTGGGAAGGGCTTTGAACAGGGAAATTGAGGGAAATTGAGAGTAAACAAAAGATTATACAAATATATTTAATTGCTATGTTTAGAATTATTTCTAAATACAGTAAGTTGTATTTAGAAATTTATTCTCACTATACTTTATAGCTAACACTTTTCCTGAACGTTTGAAAACTACATAAATATAGGAAAACCAACTTTCTTACCAACTATCATAATAAACAGCGCTTTAAACACTATAATACAGCAACTTACCAGTAATGTTTACCGTCTATAAAATATATATTCACTTCGGCTCTTTCATTTTCCACCAGATAGCGCCTTATCGCACACACAATCTGATAGATCGTTTTTCGGATCCCCAACCTTGTCAGCCGAGCGACAATACTGTGCACAATACTGTGCTCAACACTTTCTGGTTCTCGAAACCGCTTTTTCTTAGGCAGCGTTGACACTGTACCGTTTTCGTAGCGTTCTCGTATTATTCGAGAGAACTAGACTATTGTCTTGCGTTCCCTTGAGGATTAAGAACAATACGAGAACGCTACGAAAACGGTACAGTGTAAACGCTGCCTTATATTATAAGAAGATACCATGCTCTTTTGCCAACAAAATTCATCTATTCACGACGAAAGCGAACTGAATGCTTCGTTGCACTTCATGCACAGGGGCGCCGGAGCCACGGGGGCAGCGGGGGCAACCGCCCACACTGCCCAAACAGTGCGGGGACAGCATGGGGGCAACAGGTTGCCCTTTTTACCGAAACTGCACTTCGAAATTTGTTCGTTATTCACAGGAATTGGAATTTATAATGTTTAAGCAATCTTTGCTTTATTTTTAACCAGTTGCAGTAAAATTAATGCTAAATCAAGCAATATACGTCCGTTTACTGATTTTATTTCGCACCAACAAATAAAATTGTTCAAAATTAAGGTCGAGGTTTGCCGACCCATAATAGCCACAAGTAATCGAGTGTCCATTCAGTAAAGTTTCAAATCCGTAATATTTCAAATCCGAGTAAGGCCCGTTTCATACGCCGTACTTCACATGTGCCGAATACATTAAAGACAATAGATAATGAGCTGAAATGTCTCATTATCTATTGTTTGTAATGTATTCGGCACATGTGAAGTACGGCGTATGAAACGGGCCTTAGTGTTTTAAACTTGGCTTCCAAATCCCCAGTGCCATGAACAATGGCTCGGCTGCGCCTCGCCATTGTTCATGGCACTTGTATTTAGAAACCACGTCTAAAACACTAACTCGGATTTGAAATATTACGTGATCAGTATTTTGTTTTCAGAACTGAAAAGGCATTAACAGTACAATTATATTTCCACATACGTGTTCCACATAACTCATATAAAGTCGTTATTTCTTTTCACTTGCATATACGACGTAAGCTGAGTTGTATTAAGATTTAAGTCAAGACAGACAGTGTTCCACATAAGTCAAGTCCTCCTGATTTAGGTATTGGTATTTCCATGCATACATTTTCTTTTAAGAAGAACGTGGTTGATTGGTTGGTACCGAATCAGTACCTAGTTTCACTTTGGTTGGGTACTATTAGTACCTTGCATTCTTCGATATTGAATCTCATTATTGAATGAAAACTTCATTTTTAGATTTATATAATTCACCTTGTATACATATTACATAGTGGCAAGGAATCTGCAAAGCGTAATTGCCAATTTCTGCGGGCCCAAATAAATAAATTACAATACAAGTTAATACAGATATTAAACAACAAAGAACAGTATAATAACTGCAGTCCCTACATATGCAGCACTGTCAGCACAGGCTTGTGAGAGTACGAACAAAATTACACTTACCTCAACATCGTAACACGAGTACAAAGTCAAAGAGGAAATGCAACACTGCCGACTTATCCGTATTCAAATTAAGTTCATCAACGAGATGGTTCCATATTCGAGTTGCCCGAATCATCAGTAAAATTTTTGATATTTTGTTACTGTTTTGCATTTTGGCACGACAAACTTTAGGACTGTTATTGGCGGAGGATCTGGAAGTGCGGATAGTTGGGCGTAGTGATGCTTGAATGATTACTAGTTTGTGAGTAGTAGTTTATAAAAAAGCACCATGTCTAGATATTCGTGCCAATAGCAAATCGGTATTAAAGAGGCCTAAGGTTTGAAGTCTGGTGGTATAGTCAGTAGAGGAGAATGGAAGACTGAGGATATATTTGGTTGCTCGGCTTCTCTATGTTCGTTCAAGGTGACGTATTAGTTCGATGGATTGTGGTGCCCATAGTTGGGTAGCATACCGCAGGTGTGGCCGAACTAGCGCAAAGTATAATGTGCGTCTCGCTTCGTTTGCACTTAGAACTAGCTGGCCATCATCCACAGATCTCATCTCTCTGTGTAAGATCTCATCTCTCTGAGTCATGTGCAAGACAATGCCGAGTTTTGCACCAGGTGAAACATCAGGCACAGACAGGAAGATCATTGATAAATATCACATAAAACAAGTTGCCCGAATCATCAGTAAAATTTTTGGGAACGATCTCACAAAGATAGTTGGGCGTAGTGATGCTTGAATGATTACTAGTTTGTGAGTAGTAGTTTATAAAAAAGCACCATGTCTAGATATTCGTGCCAATAGCAAATTGACCACGAAATTGAAGACTGAGGATATATTTGGTTGCTCGACAAAATTTTCGACATTTTGGCGAACCCCCCCCCTGTCGCCAAAAAATTTTCGGTCAGTGGTGTACCATGTTAGGGGTCAACCAAAATTTTTGGGAACATCACACAAATTTTCCAAACAACACAAAATTGACCACGAAATTGACTGAATTTCCGACAAAATAGACAGAATTTGTCCCATTTATTTTTATAATTAACCAAAATTGCCCGACTGTTCATTGAATATTGCCCGACTGCCCATCATCCACAGATCTCATCTCTCTGTGTAAGATCTCATCTCTCTGAGTCATGTGCAAGACAATGCCGAGTTTTGCACCAGGTGAAACATCAGGCACAGACAGGAAGATCATTGATAAATATCACATAAAACAACGGGTCCCAGGATGCTGCCTTGATGCAGCACCCTTCTGAAGACAATGCAGACATGATGCCATGGGCGTACCGGAAGGAAAAAATTAGGGGGGCGGAAAGAAATTTGCCCGACTTTTCGGGATTGTGCCCGACTAGTATCGAAAACATTTTTTCCGGAAAAAGGATTTTGGCGAACCCCCCCCCTGTCGCCAAAAAATTTTCGGTCAGTGGTGTACCATGTTAGGGGTCAACCAAAATTTTTGGGAACATCACACAAATTTTCCAAACAACACAAAATTGACCACGAAATTGACTGAATTTCCGACAAAATAGACAGAATTTGTCCCATTTATTTTTATAATTAACCAAAATTGCCCGACTGTTCATCGAATATTGTTCGATAACTACATCGGCTTCGGGCCTGTAATATGCATGATGCTCCCTATGACAACCTCGCTGCCATATCTCCATTCAAATAGTTTTCAAACGGTCATAAAAGCGGACTTCGCAAATATTGGGAGGGAGGGGGGGGGGGGTTCAGGTTACCCTCTTATTACTACATATCTCGGTTCTTAAAACATCCTTCACATTTGGCTAAAATTTCATGCACATTTGCCTAATCACAGTCAAATGCTTTCAGTGTTTCATTCAAAGGCTTTCAGAAATTACTGGGGGTGTCCCTCCAGTGTCTGCCACTGGGTTTTAAAAGATCAGTGGTTTAGACGGGGAGTTAAAGAGTTAAAAGATGCTGAACTGCTGGCCTGATTCAGTTACTGAACATTTCAAACAGTGAAGTCATCATCGTCAACTCTATAAAATGAGTACCTCTTGGCAAGGTAAACCTCAAATGCTCACTAGCTAGGACCATGGTGTCAGCATTTTGATGAATCATGGCGTGGCAGCGGTTACTCGAGTCGACCTTCTGTGTGCCTTACTCTATGATTTAACTCAGAGTTTTTCATTTATAAAGCTTGGTAGTTGGTATATAGTAATACATACGCAATAAAGCACTTTAAAGTGTAAGTACATTTATGACTATGTCACAATGCAGTTTTTAAATATAAATGCAGTTTTTAAAATATCCATAAAGTGTCACTATATTCCAGTCAACTTGAAAAAAGAACTTTATCCAAAAATAACATTATTGTGGTTTGAAATTTCTCCATTTTAATCATAGTATAGTTAGTTTATATTCTTCAGAGTTATTCGTCGTTTTCGAACTCTTTGGGGTCCTTTCTACTCAGCCGATGATTTTCATTCTTCGCCCAGTTAATGACCAAGAAAGCAGAGATAAAAGCAGGCAAAATGTAACCAATTGAACCCGTAAAACGACGTACAACATTTGGACCACTCTTTGAAATGAATCCAGCAAAAGCACGTTGTTCAAATGGCGACAACGAGTACGTGATAATGTTCTTAGCTTTAATAAGATTTCCAAATTCTTTACCACCCATCTTAGACGAGATTTAGAGAAACTTTATGTACAATTTCACTGCTAATTTCCACAATTTCACTGCTATAAATTCCACTCGCTATTAATTTTCAGCCAATATGGAGGAGCAAAGAGAACGGGATTGTGAGGAACATAAGGGGAGAAACATGACGAATATGGATAACAATTGTATTTTAGCCTTTTAGGGGATTAAATGTACTCCAATTTCTCCTAAGTGTTTCTTATTGTCCCTAATAACGTGTATGACCCCCACAACACAGACCACAATACAATATGAAAATTCGAAATTGTAATTTGTCAAAAGTGATAAAGACATTGCTATAAACATTGGAATGCGTTTATTTTGCATACAAGGAATCCTTATGAGGCCAATGGGACGGGGATGTAAATTAAAGTAAATAAGGTGACGTTGCCAAAAACGAAGGTTTATGCCGTTTGAGTGGAAGTTGTTTCATAACTCTTACAGTACTATGGACGAAACGCCATCTTCTGGTATTCCTAGATATGGTTCTATTCATAATTCCAATACAACAAACGAAAGACTTGTCATACCAACTCGAGTACTCACCAAACAACTTGAGATTAAACACGAGAAGAGCCTCAAACGTAACTTATCAAACATAGTTAAAACAACTAAATACACTATATGGAATTTTCTACCAAAGAATTTGTTTGAACAGTTTCATCGTTTTGCTAACATATATTTTCTGGCAATAGCGATTTTAAACTGGGTCCCGGCAATTAAAGCATTTGCAAAAGAAATAACAATGATTCCATTATTGATTGTTCTCAGTGTGACATTGGTGAAAGATTTATATGAAGATCAGAGACGAAGGAGGTCAGATAACGAGGTCAATAACAGACAATGTCTTGTCTATGATGTGTAAGTGATGTGTAATTTATACATTTGCAACTGGATAGATCATTTTCATAATTATAATAGAGTGCTTAAACAAGTGATGTTTTTGAAAACATATTACCAACACACATAGACAACACACATATCAGCTGTTACAGTAATTATGATGTCAGCAGTTTCATGCTTTGAATCAAGAAAACCATGCGAATGTGGGGTCAATCCTTTAATTCCAGGGGGAATTTGAAAGTGTCCAGACATTCCAAGTTTCCCGCAATTACCGTGAAATTCCCACATTTTTGGGTTTTTTTTTTCACGCATCACACATGAAGTGACTTTCTTCTCGCATTTTTTAAACTTAACTTGTGGAGGTTTCTTCCTGTGGGGCAATTACTCCCATTTCTTTCCATTTGCACAATGTCCAATGCATTCTTTTTGCCAATGTCAGTGCCCAGAAGTCTTGAAAATGTGTGTCTCAATTGCATATCAAAAAGAGACAACAAATTGGAAGACTCCTGAGCCCGAGGAGTGTTATTTTTGCCGTTTGGGAAGGAGTGACGCTAACATTTCATATTTTTATAGCATGAACACATAAGGTTTGTGCTTCAAAAAAGGCGGACGAAAAACCTCAGAAAGGCAATTTTCTGGCGATCTGGGGAACTCAAATTTCAAAACTTCACCCTGGGCGTGCCAACCATGGTGGCACCTCGTCAGTGGACACTAACCTAAGGAAATTAGCTTCCCGCATAAAATTTTTCAAAACTTGACAGTGTCAGGAATAGTAGTGAAATACAATACATTTTATATTTATGATTTGAAGGATTACAACAGCCACCTGACTGGGAAGTTTGAAAATTGTGTATGGATGATACATTAGATTTTGAAAATTTAATAATAAACAGTTATTGAGTTATTGGACAAGGTTTTTGTGATATCCAGAATTATCAATTATTCTTCATTAATTTGGGATATCACAAAAACCAAATTCAATAACTGTTTTATTATACATTGCATTTTCATTAGCCATTTGGACAAACAATGATTTGTCACACAAAACAATGTTTGGTTTGCAATAACAACATAAAAATATTAGAAATCTCATTTACCTACCGGTAATGAAATTTGGATAAAAATGTGCAAAAACATTGATGAAAATGCCTTTTGTTCATGTTGTTTTTCATTGTTTTATTTGTGTATATAAAACTGATGCTTGCTATAAAATTACATACCATGGGCTCAACTAGCTGACACATAACTCAGTTATCTGCAAGCACATAACTGTGTTATATGTAGGTTGCATGATTTCCATATTTAGCTGTAAGCTAATGGCCACTCAGAAGACACATGGTGAACATCAAACAGTTTGCACCTAAAATCTTAGTTGCTGAGTTGCACAATACAAACATTTCACAGTGGAACAGCCATTGCCATATATAATGGGTTTATTTTGTACTTGTGATATCTGTACTGACAACAAATTCTTGCTTAGGCTCTCTAATGTCAAATTATTACACTGTTTTGAGTTACTTTGTTAAGATTGGTGGTTTTCAATGTATTACCATTGCCCTGTTTTATTATTTTACAACTTAGTGGTTAAAGTGCACAGCAAGACCAATTTCTGTAGAAAAGATGAATTGTCATATTACACATTTTAACGGATTAAGAGAAAATAGGAAACTCTGACTATTTGGAGTATGTCCGTAAATTCTTATATTTCTTGATATTTTCTGCTGGTAGAGAGGATTTTAGTGGATTAACCCATTGAGTGCCAGCGCTCTTCTCAATACACATTGTCATCACATACAGTCATTTTGCCATCTTGTCCTACAGTATATTGATGTGTTCTTAGCATGTGATTATCTTCCTGTTTATATCACCTTAATTGTTTATCACATTCATCAAACATCTCATCCAATTCCTGGCAGTGTCTTACTGTATCAGTATTCAATAATTCCCTTGACGGCATAGTGCCACAGCCTTGACAACATGCCTTTTCTGATGCCAAAACTTCTCCTACACCCATGCACACTTTACAATATTCAGAATACATGTACAATACATGGCACAATATGATTGACTGCAAGATTTATTTCAGAATTTTGTGTCAACCTCAATTTTGACTCTTTGAGGGCTGTATTAATGTAAATTATACTCATGCACTCAGACACCTTAGTGTATATATACATGTGGGTCGATACACTCCTTGGATTAGCAGACCCAGTTAGTCTGAAAATATCTGCTATTTGTGTGTGACTAGCTAAAACTACATAAATGGTGCAGTGTATAATTACAGTACAATTCATGTGATTTTCTCTGTGATTACAGACAGACGTTTTATTGAAATAGGTTTACTATGTATAAATTGCCAAATTATACCGTAAATTATGGCATTATACTATTGCAGTCTCGTATCCAGGATTTCTAAATAATATGTTTTCCTCCTAGAAACTATTTTACTATGCCTATGATTGTTAACATGATCGCTCTCAGAGAACGCATCTTTTCCCACGCGTTGGTCGGACAAAATTTCATGAACTTCTAATCAATTTTAATAATTCAATTGGCGTTCAACCACAATTAGCCTCGTGAAATATTCTAGACAATTCAAACAACGTGAAAAGCGACTTTTAAAAGTCGTAATTGTAAATGTACCATTATACAAACAACTATAATACTAACAAGTCGCGTTTCGTGGTGCAGAGACTCTCAAACGTGGGAGAGGCAGCACCCCAAAAATGGCGGGAAAATCGGCCGTGATAAAGGCTAATTTGATCGATTTGTTATTAGCCTATACAACCTTTAGCTCTTCTGGGTTATCATGTGAACAGACAGAGGGATAGACAACCTGTGGCACTGAGTTAAAAAATGATGTGAAAATATTATCAAAAATCACGGTTTGTTAAGTAGCTGCATTGGGACGCGCATTTGTAGTGGCTAGGATATACTTTGACTGCGGTAAAAGATATTTAATTTGCTTTCTGCCTCGAAGTCAGATATTTTGTTTAATTACATTCTGCATGCAGTATAATCCTACTAAGATATTTTAAAGAATACTCTACAACCATCGCTTTGTTTGTACTTCTTCAGACTGAGTGTTTTTGCTCCTTCAGATTCATTCCGAACCATTTAATTAATGCAATACCAATGTGTTAATTAAGTGCAAAACCCTACCAATCATTATTCAAAACCAGTTTAGAAGAAATGAATTCTAGCTGTTGCACCAGCTTTTTACGATTATTAATTCTGTTTTAAAACATCAGTTACTCACTCAATACTGCACGAAGACCTTAACATCAAAATTTAAGTTAGGTCTTTCTAAAACATAATAGAACTGCTTTGAGTGAAATACAGTAGTTTTTCTAGTTTTTATGTTACAATATTTTTAAATCAAACAGCGTAACTCTTTGGAGGTCACCATGTGCATTCAGAGAAGTGAGCAAGGATTATTAGCTGACCAATTTAAAAAATTTCCTGCAGGAATTATCACTATTTCTCTGTATCATTTTGGTATCATTCTTACATTTTTCTATCTTTTATACACCAGGCTTTGTCTGAAAAGGGATAACAGTTGATCACAGTAGTAATCTTCCACTATCTTTACCTTTTGGGGGGAGATGACGTCATTGATATATGACGAACCACAATTTCGACTTCAAATCATATCTTCAGTGACGAATGACACTATAGACATAAGTGTCTAACGCTAGGTCGTGAAAGTAATTTGTTCGAGGATTACATTCAATGACATTTACCCAGACTATAAAGTAGGGAAACATGTCTAAAGGGCTGTCTACAAGTCACGATTAGTCGTATACGATTCTTATTCTGGCGTATGTAATGGAATAAACACGCGTGAAGAATATTATCATTAAACAGATGAAGAGGAATTGCGGCATCAGCGCAGTAATTTTCATACACCAGGATGACAACCGTATACATACATACATACATACATACATACATACATACATACATACATACATACATACATACATACACATACACACACACATACATTGATACATACATAAATTATATCGTGTAGGTTAGTAGGTAGGCCTTAATATACATACACTAATTATACCTTGTAGGCAGGCCTTAATACAACAAGTTATTAAAATGCAAATAAGTGTATTTTTACAATCAATCCATTGATAACTCCATTGTAAATTCATCACCCAACAGATTGGATTCTGTGTTGCACATAGTGAGACTCTAAAGTTATACTTCCTTATTTCAGCACAACCAAGAAATATGTTAAAACAAAGTGGAAAGACATTGTTCCTGGCAATATTGTGAAATTATCAAATGATGAAATTATCCCTGCAGATCTATTGCTATTGAACTCAAGTGATCCTAATGATATATGTCACATTGAAACTGCTAATCTTGATGGAGAAACTAATTTAAAACAACGAGAAATTGTCAGGAATTTTAACCAGGTACAGGTAATATGGTTATCTATTTTTAACAACATTAAGGTGTAGATTAATGCGTATTATATCCAAGTGGGCTATTGTTGCAGCTGCTATTCAATGGACCCTTTGCAGTTAGGCCAAAAGTTGGTAATTCCCTGCCGTTCACCGTGTTGTTTAGCAACACGTTGTTTTCAACTATTTTTAGAAGTTCAAAAGGGTGAAAATATTCTACGTTTCTGTATTATCCATTCAGATATGAGCTGGGCAAGAGTATTTTTAATGGTTCAATATTTTTGATTGCTTAAGGAAGGTTAAACCGGCACTTTTACGAGCTTTCATCTGGGACTCGTTTTATAAGTGTTCTTAGTCTTATTATAAAAGATAAAATAGTAATTATCTTTTTATTTCAGGATTCAGACTGCAATGGAGCGGCAGATTTTTCTTCGTTTATTCATTGTGAAGAACCGAATAGTAAAATTTATCAATTTCGTGGATATATGTAAGTGAGGAATTATTTATGTAATATTTCAAATCCGACTATGAGGACTGGACTAAATTTCAAGTCCGCGCAATTTGATCAATTCTAGAACTGGATCAATATACTTCACTAGGTATCCAGTATTGTCATGTGAGCGAAATAAAGCAATATGGTTGGCTAATGGACCTATTCCCTAATGAACAAAATTTTGATCTAGATAAATCTAGACAAAAATTTCATCACAGCTTCACAAGAGAAAGAGCATCACAAAAATAGTAATATTCCGAAGTTTCGTTGCGAAATGTTGTAAAATGCGGATAATATAGCCCTGCGAAGTTTGCCGTTTTTAAGTCATTTTGTATTACGCACGGGAAATTGATACCGCTTTCTGAAAAAAGGTATCAATTTCCCGCGCGTAATACAAAATGACTGAAAAACGGCAAACTTCGCAGGGCTATATATTATCCGCATTTTACAACATTTCGCAACGAAACGTCGGAATATTACTAATTTTGTGATGCTCTTTCAAGCTGTGATGAATTTTTTGTCTAGACTTGTCTAGATCAAAATTTTGTTCATTAGGGAATACAGTAGGTCCATTTACTCATAAATTATTAAAGTTTCTCAAAGTTTCTGGCATCGTGTCTTGTTGCCGTAATTATGACCACAGGATTTTATATTGTGAAACAGCCCTAAGTAAGACACCTTGGAGCCCATGCATATTTACCACACTGACAGAGGTCCCAGCAGAAAATTTACCAGTATAAGGCACATCTGTGACTGCGCCATTGCGAGTTGAGAGCGATGCTGGATACGAGGTTGTGCATTTGACGTACATGAACTACTATACTATGTACGTCTAGACTCTCGTTTGTTGTATTTAGAGAAACTGACGGCAACCGCACTTCAATTGGGGCAAATAATCTTCTTTTGAGAGGATGTGTTATTCGCAATACAGAAAACTTGGAAGGAATTGTCATCTACGCAGGTAAACGCATCACCCAAAATGATTATCTCAGAAGAAATCCAAAACTACTATTTTAGTAAATCAGACATTGGACGATTTTGTGACTTGAGAAACCGCATAAAAATAGCCAGTTCCTGTAGAGGTCCAATAGCCCTGGGTACGAGGTTGAGTGCGTTCGTTGTAAACATATTCTGAATAATATAGTATTAATACAGCATTTTGCAGGATGTACTATTGGCGCTATGGTAACAAGTCCGTCACTGTACTTGAGTAATAATTAATATTACCGAAATCAGTAGAGTGTCTTTTCCAGAAGTTTAAAAGACAGTCAGAAGCCAGTAGAAACGTTCATGTTTTATGACGTCACGGTGAAGGAATGCAGCGTGGAAAGTGAAGTTAGTGAGCTGTGAACACGCCATGTTAAACATGTGAACACGCCATGTTAAACATCAGTAGAGTGTCTTTTCCAGAAGTTTAAAAGACAGTCAGAAGCCAGTAGAAACGTTCATGTTTTATGACGTCACGGTGAAGGAATGCAGCGTGGAAAGTGAAGTTAGTGAGGTTGTGAACACGCCATGTTAAACATGTGAACACGCCATGTTAAACATGTGAACAAAGTTTATATCAGGACAGCCTAATAAGAGTGGTTGGAGCACAAGCGAAAGTGAGGTTTTTATGGAAAAGTGCCATTGGCAATTTGTCAAACTAAATAAAGTTACTAATACAGTAAGTAAAATAACATAAAAGTTCCACGCTGCATTCCTTCACCGTGACGTCATAATACAAGGACGTTTCTACTGGCTTCTGACTGTCTTTTCAACTTCCGGAAAAGACACTCTACTGATTTCGGTAATAATTGTTGAATGTGGTTGAGCATGATATGAAGAATTATCAAGGCCGAAGTTTATGGCTGATTTCCCATTTGCAGAAAAATGTTTCCTTTTTCCTTTCATAAGTACATTAAGATGTTTCAAAACCTTTCCTGGTTGTATTCGTTGATATTTCTTCTTTATATTTTAAAATTTCCTTCTCTCAAACCAAAGGTGGCGTCATATTGTTTTGGTTGTGTTTCCACATTACGTATTCCTACTTCTATACAGCATGATGTCGTAACGTTGATATGGTCTTTTTATATCAACGTTATAACATCACTCTGTTTAATATTATGTCAAATCTCCAATCAGAAACATGAATTATTTTAAATAATTATTAATTACCTATAAATCTGATATTTTAGAGAAAGTTCTGATATATTTCGGACACGGGTAAAATATTCAATTTATAAGCAATGCTTCCAATAAGGGGAGGATATATAGTGGTTCAGTAAGATGGTAGGTTTTGGTGAAGCGTAACATGTCAGGAAAAACCAGGGGTTCACCTGCCATAGAGAAGATTGAACCTCCAATTACGAGTATTGACCCGCCAGCCAAGAATACTGACGCCCGTATTCTAAAAGCTCACTCACACTCAATGAGTGGAGTTTCAATATGAGCTTCCCTTGAGTGTTAATGCTGTATTTGAATAGCTGGAGGGTTAGTGTCGTACCTTACTATGTGACTACTCACCCTCCAGCTATTCAAAGACAGCATTAACACTCAAGAAAAGTTCAAATTGAACCTCCACTCATTGAGTGTGAGTGTGAGTGAGCTTTTAGAATACGGGCGTGAGTCTCCAACAAGTTTATGTAAATGTAAACTAAATACTAAAACAACAATTTTTTATGTAAAGTATACAAATGTGTACGGAATGTTTTGTTCCTCTAGGTCATGACACCAAAGCGATGAGAAATAACAGTGGTCCACGTAGCAAACGCAGCAAGCTGGAGAGAGATATTAACTCGGATGTTATAGCTTGTGTATTTATCTTGATATCACTGTGTTTAATTTGTGCTATTGGTAAGTACGGCAGTGAATTTACTATAGGATGTACTAATATATAACCAAAACGTTTTAATAATTGTATTATGTAAAATACACAATCCCTGAATTCACCGAATAAATTTTGGATATGGTTAGTGCAATGATAATAAGAGGTTTTCAATAATAATAGGTGTATTGACAGTATCGTAATTGTTTTATATCAGAGGTAGAATGACGTCTTAAAATCATCACGTACTTGTTTGAGTTGTCCCAGAATCCATCCAGACTATTTCCTCTATATGTTCTTATCTTAAATGTCGAGTGTACATGTTCCCGAGCTCACCCATTCAAACGTCAGGCAGTTCAATATAAAATTGTGTCGAATACGTCGGAACCATTGGCATTGGTACCTAATTCACACTGCAGATAACTCACTTACTAGTGACTACTGGTCTGATAATGTATGCATAGAAATCTAACAAACGTAACCATGCATACTTTTTTGTATGTTGGTGAATTATGTACTAAGGTGAATATAATGTTTGTTATGTTACTCTTAGTGTGCATCCACAACGCGGGCAAGATGAAAAGTTTGATAAACAAAACGTATCATATCTTAGAATACATTGATATCGAAGGAACTCGACTCAGTTCCGAAATATCACCAACTCGAACCGATTTGACCTCGTAGCTCAGTTGGCAGAGCATTGGACTAGTATCCCAAGAGTCTCGGGTTCGATTCCCACCGTGGTCAGGCAAACTTTTCAGCCTGCCCGGTGTGGGTGCACACTCAGAGTAACACCACAAACAAAACTTATCCATCTTTATTTTTCTTCAGGATGTGGATTTTGGACTCATAATAACGAAGTGTTTGACCACCAGTATACCCCAGAGTTGGACCTCGATAACGAAGATGTGATACAACGTGAACCTGCTTTAGAAGGTTTTGTGAGGTTTTGGACATATATCATAGTTTTTCAGGTACATATACATACAAGTGGTGTGTACTTCGCTACTTTTGTTTATTTTGAAACATGAAGATATAAACGTATATACATTATTTGATAGTGTCAAACTGGGATCAGTCATCAATCTATTCATATGCGGCTAAGGCGAAATCATACCCAAACAACTGCATATTACAGAAATCGAACCTCGATTACAGAGATGAAACTATATAACAAACATACTTGCAGGGAGGTGAGTCCGGGATTGGACGCACCGAGGGTGGCTGGAAGTTTCCCGAACTCGGTTCGGAAAACTTCCAGCCACCCGAGCTGCGTCCAATCCCGGACTCACCGAACCTGCAAGTATGTTTGGTTTTTATCACATGCCATTTTGGTAAAATACTAAAAAGTACTGAAGAATTTTATACGCATTTTACTGTTTAGTATATAATTTCGTGTTTGGATAACGAACATTTTAGCCGCCGACATACTACGCAAACAAACAAACTTAGGCTTAAATTATAAAGCTAAAAGAATTCTCTACAATACTCCCTTATTCTTCAAAAGAGAAAATGAACACATTCTGCGAAAACAATGCCAAGATTTATATAAACCTGCCCGTGCCGAACAAATTTCGGCGGCCATCTTTCTTTTTTTCCACTTTGAATGCAGAATATTCCATTTTTATCACACAAAATAAAAAATAATAATTATAAAACAATTAAAAACAGTTAATTTATTTTTTTATTGAAATCTTCGTCTGAATTTTGTTAAAATCGCTTCATAATGGCCGCCGCCAAAACATCGATCTCGAACCCACCTCCTAAACTTACGTCAGCAGGTGGGTTCGAGATTGAACGCACCTCCTCGTAGCCAATAGGAAAGCCGCTAATACGCTAGGTATGAGATAAATGTACATGCACTGGTCATGATTGTACCACCAACATCACATCCAGTATACAGTCTCATCATTGTTAGTCGCTTCAAGTACACTCACTCTTGATGTACTTGGTAACCAACAATAGTCTGGGTTGCCGAAAGCTCTGTGGCAGCGGGAAAAATTGTCCCAAACCCGCAACCCAATCTGTGTGAGTGCCAAATATTGAACGGGATATTTCTTAAGTAGGAGCTTTTCCTCAAGTTGGGACCATGCATAGCTCCTTTTAAATGAGTGCGACCTCTCTTGAGGAATATGACATCATAGAGACCCCCGGAAAAACTTCACACCCACAAAATCTCTCAACGACGACGGTCCTGTGTATAGTGTCTTCAATTTTCTCTAGGTATTAATTCCGATATCATTGTACGTGTCTGTTGAAATTGTGAAACTTGGTCAATGTTATTTTATAACGAATGATGTGGAAATGTATTTTGAAGAAAAAGATCAACCCGCATTATGTCGGGCACTAAATATTAATGAAGATCTAGGACAAATTAAATACGTCTTTTCTGATAAGACTGGAACTTTGACGGAAAATAAAATGGTGTTCAGACGTTGTACTATTGACGGAAAAGATTTTTCTCATAAAACCAGATGTTCTCAAGGTAATTTTATTGTATATATAGAGTTATATACTTTCAGCTTCGCTGTTTAAAGAAAATTTGTTCTTGTAAAGTAGCATGTGCATGTCTTATTTGAAATAGATGACCTAACGGACGAAGCATTACCACAAGGAACCCACAGCATGGATGAAACGGTAAGTAGTAGTAATGTAAGCTAGAGAGCACTCGGAGACTACATACCTCCGACAGACACCTCCTCCGATAGGGTGCGACACCCCATCCCCCATGTACCGAAGTTACGGCCTTGATAGAGGTCAAAATTTAGATTTGACCTCTACTACCGCTACCTCTCACAGGCTTAATACGCATTTCATTGGTTAAGTTATTACTTCCTTAACTTTGACATTGTTAGGACTTCCCTGATACTTCGTGGGATCATGAACTTGCTGAACAGATAAAAAGTACTTCCAGTGGGGATGCAACATCACCGATTAAGGAATTCTTTACATTGCTAGCAATTTGTAACACTGTCGTCGTATCGTCGGCTGGCAACCATATGAATGACGTCACTATCTCTTTAGCCAATGAGGAAGAACCAGGTGACAGTGCAGATGGTGCTACAAATGAAATGTATTTAAATGGAAGAATAGAAACAAAACAAGTTTCATCAGAATCAAAAGAACATTCATCTGTAGATGAAAATCATGCAAAAATTTTATCTTACGAAGCTGAATCGCCAGATGAAGCAGCTTTGGTACAATCTGCTAACATGTACGGCTACAAATTATTATCTCGAGGTTCAGATAGCATAACTATTGAAGTACCTGAAGAAGGCGTTGTGAAATATCATCTTCTTCATGTCTTAGTATTTGACTCAATCCGCAAGAGAATGTCAGTGATAGTTCGTCGTGAGAATGATGACAAGATTATTATGTATTGTAAAGGTGCAGATACTACAGTGATACCTCAGTTATCTAGACATAGTAAGACCAAGACATTGAAGCATCGTGATACCGTGGATGCAGTGGATGGGAAGGTAGTTGAAGAGACGGAGGATGTGTCTTTGGTTGAAATAACGGAAACGCATCTTAATGTTTACGCAAGAGAAGGTCTAAGAACGCTCTGTATGGCGAGAAAGGTAGTGTTAATGTAGTCAGTTAATGAAAATAATTTGGTTAAAGCTAACTTCCTTGGACTGTCTCAGGTTGTCCCCATGCGACAGAAGCTGGTACTGTACTTGTTTATCAGCGGAGTCACTTGGGGAAAAAAATAGTAAGGATAGGTCGTGAACTATTTGTTCAATCGAGTAAAGTGCCAACAAAATCTTGAGATTGATTCAAAATTAGCTCAGTTTAGGCTAACCCACATTCAGAGATATGTACATAACCCTTATCGGATCTGGAGTAAATGATCTAACATTGCTAAAATGTATTTTGGTCCCAGTGTTATCAGTAGGAAATGATATCTCGTACTGTACAATTTTCTTCGTTTAATTATTTATATAATACTTACATGTTCAATTGTTTCTTACTCCTCATGATCGTCATCTTCACCATCATCACTTTGGAAAGTTTTAGAATGTAGATACATGTACGTGTGTTGTGATTTTCTAGGAATTAAGTGAGGAAGATTATCGTAATTGGTTATCGGAACACGAGAAGGCCGAAATATCTCTATACAATCGTGAAGAGTTGTTGCAAGATTCCTACTGTCGAATTGAACGCGATATGGAGTTGCTTGGAGCAACTGGTATTGAGGATAGATTACAGGAAGGTGTTCCTGAGGCTATTGCTACATTGCGTGCAGCTGGACTCAAAGTTTGGGTTCTGACTGGCGACAAACAGGTAAAAAAAATACAGGTATTTATTTTAGTATTTAATACGAGACTAATGGTGTGGCAAATTATCTGTAATTTGATTTCTGGTATCTAGATTTGGATGAAGTGTAGTGTTGGCAAGGGCCTTCAGGCAGAATGTGTATTAGAGCCGTTGTCAGATTTCATAGAAACGAAATTTATCATTTGTTTGTTTGTTTGTTTGTTTGTTTGTTTGTTTGTTTGTTTGTTTGTTTGTTTGTTTGTTTGTTTGTTTGTTTGTTTGTTTGTTTGTTTGTTTGTTTGTTTGTTTGTTTGTTTGTTTGTTTGTTTGTTTGTTTGTTTGTTTGTTTGTGTGTTTGTGTGTTTGTTTGTTTGTTTGTTTGTTTGTTTGTTTGTTTGTTTGTTTGTTTGTTTGTGTGTGTGTGTG